TGCACACATTGCCAGAATTTATGCAGTTAAAAATTTAGATTTCGTGCTGTTTTCGCAACAAAATCGTACTTTCGTTGATTCCGCAAGAAACATAAGTCCTCAAATGTGTTGGGAATGTGCAATTAGTTAATATATATTGGGGCTGTTTCTATATATTGGTTAATATAGGAGATATTTGGAGCTGTTCGGCATGATCTAATAAAAGCACTTCTTTCTGAAGTGCTTTTTATTAGATCATGCCGAACAGCTCCAAATATCAAACGTACCAAAATGTTCATTTTGTTAGGATATGGGCGAGGACGAGGAGTAGAACGAGGACGTAGTGGTTATCGAGGTGGACGTGGTGGCGGTCGAGGTTCATATCGAGGTGGACATCAGTACTCATCATCTCAAGGACAGCTTGGCGGCAATATAGCAAGTAACGTTTGGGATAATTCACAGGCATTGAAGGTGGACTCTAGTAAGGAATGGACAAATGCAAGCGCAGTTGCTGTTGACGATAGCGCTGAGGATACGGAATGGGTATGACTTATTCGTATTACTATAAGATACAGTCCCGTTTTTTTCCAGATTATTTTTGAAATTCAATACTTTGTTGTATTCTTACTTCAAAAATTTCTGTAGGATATATGATCATTCTTTTAGAAGCAGCACGGCACATTGGTATTTTCACGAAGTACAACACCACCAGCCACTATAACACCTGTGGTGAACACAGCCGCTGGGATGAGCTCGATACCCCCAACTTCTGGACCAGTATCGTTTGCTGCTGTTGCAGCTGCTGGAACTAATAAAGCGAAGGAAAATGCGTTGAAAAATTCTCTAGGTCGATCTGGAACAGGTGCACCATCAGCGTTGGGACAATCACAACTTGAGAATGTGAATTCGCTTTACCAGAAGTACGCTTTGTTGTTGTCTTTTTTCTTTTTTCTCCCGCTTTTTTTCTGATCTTGAGCTTGCTCTACGATATAATACATTCTACAACCGACCGAACCAGTTCTTTAACAATGATGACATTCTAATGAAAAGGACATCATAGTAGAATTGAACAGTGTTTTCAAAACTCTCATGTATGCATTTTAAAACTTAGATACGAAATTGCAGTAGTGGGATACCTTTTTCTTTACTGATGTCTGATAGATATTATAAATTATCCGATCTTGCTCATAAGGAAATCATTAGCTTGACGAATGACATAATGCAGTTTTGAAGGCGACATCTGAATAGGAATGGACTGGTATTGCATGCATGATTTCTTAAATCTCTATAAATTTTTGCCAACTGAAATAAGTGTTCATGTGATTACTGTTTTTTACTTGATTATCCCAGCAAATAATATCTGCTTTTCCTTCATTATGCTCTGGCCATTTCATTTTAAATACTTATTTCAGCAGTGGACTTGTTTCAACGAATGGTCAATTAGCAGCTCCTTCGGAAGAAACAGATAAAGGACGTGAGGCTCGAACATCACCCTTAGCTGGGCATGATGCATCTGCATCAACGAATCCTGTCTCGGGGACAGCAATGCATGCAGCAGGCGCATCACAACAATCTCGAACGAATGCATCTGTTACTACCGTAACGAATACGTCAGCGGATTGGACTGCACAACTGAAAAATGATCTTGGAATTGGTACTGCTGCTTCTGCTACGAAATCTAATTCAAACCAATCAGGTTTAATGTCTAAGTCGTCTTTGCAAAATGCTAAAGCGGGTCAAGTTCCGCGAGCAACATCTCGACATACCACCCATTCAAGTACTGTGGAGTTCGTGTCCGGCGAAGCAAATGGCCCAACCTTGCCTGAGTATCAATTCGGTTTTCACGTTGACTCAGCAACGGGAAGTGATGAGCATAATGATGATGTCTACGGTGCATCGGCTAAATCCCGGTCCTTGAATAACCAGACTGCCAAGGTAATATGTTTGTCTTTTGTTCTTTGTATGATTTTTCTGTTTCACCTATCATTCATACAATTTTATGTGTCAACCAGATTATACCGGTTGGTAGTTGTAAAATTTCTCTGGAGGAGCATAAATAAGGTTTGAGCGAACGGCGTGACATACAATCCTCACTCTCCGGAAAACTGCATGTTTCAGGTTATCTAGGCCGGTATTTTGTTAATAGTAGTAGAAAGAGGGCGTTATCAAACAATGATACAAATTTCCGTCATTTTATTTTCAATTTCTAAAATATTAATTTCCTTTCAGACTGAAATGAACTCGGATTCGTCATCAACCATGCTTTCAAACGGCCCAGTGGGTGATTATTCTTCATCGATGAATTCACAACAGCCGAAGGTATATATTTCGATGTAGTTTCCAAACGAACGTTCATTTATTAATCTTCTACACAAACATTTAGTTTTGTTAATATTCTTATCGATATGACAATAATCTTCCATCATTTGTCATTTAGAAGAATATAGCTAGCAGCAGTATTCATAATCATACAAGAAAAGTTACTGTTATTTAAACAGAAGGATGAGCTGGGAAATTCATGTTTTTCATGACAATAAGTATAGTATGCTAGTAGATTACAAAGTGAACTCAAACGCATCAGTACGAATATCGTTTTAGATATCAGCCGGCAACAATAGCGTTCCTATTCCTCAATCTTCACCTGCAGTGCATCAAGCAAACACAATTCAGCGTCAGCCCGTTACATCCGGACTATCATATGCTGATACGTCGAGTATGTCGTATCCGTCATCTGATAATCGGAATACGGCAAAGTTACCACTCTCACTACATCATCAGCAGGTTAGTTATAACTGTTATAATGTCATACAATGATTTTAATTACATATGAATGTGTGGAGCGAAGTTTACAGTTGATATCCAATTTGGTTTGAATGTGTTATAATCCTGGTAAGTAGTCACTGAGAATAGATGCTGTCCTTTCAATTGACCTTTCAAATCCAACTCTAATAGTTTTGCAGCAAACACCACATACACTTTATACTACCACGCAGTTGCCGTACGCCAACTATCCGTACCTAAATATGTACAGTCCAATGGCAGGAGTACGACAAGATGAGTATGCTGCAGCATTGGTGCAGTATCCGTTTGGTTAGATTTTACTAATTTGTGGCATTAGCAGTGAATCTACTTTTTTCTCTGTGTTGTCTCTGACGTGTAACGATGTTTCAGGTGTTGGACAATTTGATATGAACTCGCTGTCAACAATGTTACCTCCAGCAGCAGCTATTGCTTCTCAACAGCAGCAAAATCAGCCGCCACCTCCAGTTCAGTCGCAGCATCAACAGCGACCGGACCAGCATCCCAGCATTGTTGATCTATCTAAAGTATAATATAGTTTAATTCAAAGTATTTCTTGATCTCCGAGGAAGTAATTAATACTGATATTTTGTAGTTTTTCGTCTGAAATTATGACCATTTATGGTTTTAGGCTTATTTGGCGACGGCTGCGGCTGCTGCAGCAAACAGCACAATAGGAAGCGGAACTGGCTCTGGTATACTGGGTAATCAACAACAGCGTGATTCAACTGCAGTGAACAGTTCTGCGGTCGCTCCACCTCCGGGTTTCAGTGGTCCACCAGCTGCTGCCTTTACACTTCCTCAGCACAATCACATCAATTCGATATTTCAAGTTTGTGATGTTTTGTTGCCTTCAGATTCGTCCTACAAGATCTTCATGGAAATATGTAAGTTGCTGTTGAAAACATGGCTTCTTAAAGATTTTCTTATTGAGAGTCTTCAGAATAAAACGTCAGTATTTCAGGTACCACCGGCTGCTTATCATCCGCAAATCAATCAGCTGCCCTTCTCATTTATGTTGCCGAATGTTACTAATGGACAACACAAACTAAATCACCAGATGTTTGCGCAACAAAGTGTTGAAGATTCCCTTTCTGATCAGCGTCTTTCCTCTCAACAGCAGAAGGTTGGAGGAATATCTGAATTTTTGGAATTGGAATCTTTGGATTTGTGGCTAATGATCAGCACTTATTGTAAACAAAATATCTCTGTTATTTGCAATGTTTGACCATTATTTTTGTTTCTGTTTTAGGTCTATCAGGGTCATCAGCAGCTAGATAAGTACGGAAGTTCGACTAATGCGAAGGATCGTCTAGGAGGGGGTGCACAAGCAACGCCGCCACCGCAAGTATATCAAACACAAGGATACATGTCACAGCAGATGCCATTGCACGGTCACAAAAAAGCATACGGCGGCGGACCGCAACATTGGAGTGCATCGTAGATTACTGTTTATTGTAAAAGGGGAAGAAAAATGAAACTGGAAGGATTAACTGTCGCCTCACTGTCAGTGCTAGCAATTATCGTGTTCATGCAATATGAATACATACGAGCGTATGAGTGTATCTGTCTGTCTGTTTGTATGTGTGAAGCGCGTCTTATGCTAAGCATGACACATATTTCATCCTCCTCTAAACCGTTAATTGTATCTTATACATTATTAAGTTTCCTTTCCCGTTGCATTCATTAGAGTTTGTGAGAATTGGTATTTTTCTTCTTTTGTTTTTTCTTTTCTTACATAATTTAAACTTGATTCTTGATGGTTTACGTATTTCTCGTATTTCCATCTTTTTTTTTTTTGCACATTAATGTCATTTGCACTTACCTTTACATTTATCAGTCGTTTATACATACGTATTCACGTTTTACTTGGATTTGAATTTCTTTTTTTCTGAACTTCAAGTTTTTCATTTTCTTCCTTCATACTGTAGTATTGTGAATATTACGCATTCAATAGGGATTTCATATGAATATCTGTTCGGGTTGTTTCTAAAAACAAAAAAAAAAAAAATAGCAAAAAGAAAGCAATATGCGACAAACCGAAGAGGCAGAATTTAGTTCCAAAACTGTCATTTTTTTTAAACTGAATTTTGTTACTGTACTGGAATAAACCGTTCTATATCCCGACATTATCATTGTGTACCTATTTCCATCCTCTTTTACTCCTCTCATGGGAATAGCTTATATTGTAGCTACGAATTTTCGTTGCTGCCGCATATGTTTCTATAACATATTGCCTAATTTACTCCAATTTGTTGTTTTGATATTGGAAAAAATTGCTAAATCCTAAATAGACAAGAGTGAAGTTGTATGGTTTCAGAAAGGACATCTGAAATTATCTGGTGGGACGGATCTTGCAGGGACATTTTTGCGCTCGGACTATTCATTGTTCGTGAGGTTTAATTAAGCTTTTGTGTCGAACAGACGTTTATGTTTAGTGAGTATGATGGCTTCGTATTTCTAAGGCGTTGATCCAACCCATAGGGGTAGTCATTTATTTTTGGGGCGTAATATGTTGCAGGGCATTAAATTCTTGAAATTTTGTGGTGTGCTGACCATTTTGCACCGGATAGTTTGGTGTTAATAATACAGAGGTCAAGGGGTCATTTTCTTGCTTCTGGATTATCTAAAACGGTGTTAAAATGGACGGTAAATAGCTGTAATTTCGCTTTATTCTGAAATAGAAGATATAGCTGTCATGAATCCAATTATTTGATGAGGACACTTGACCAACAAAAGTCTTGAGATTTTGTCGGGAATATTATGCTTTCTGATGGCTTGAAATCCTATCTTTACTTGTTACTGTTCCAGAAAAATATCGCCGTGTATGATACCGAAAGTATAAGTATCACGTCATTTTCAGTATCTTTTTTTGCGGGATGATAGGCGGGATACGTCGATGTTTGCAGCGGATTTTTTTGTCATCATCGATGACTACCGTAACAACGATGAAGCAATTAATCAGCGTTGCTGAGTATACGCAACGTCGCTCGAATTTAATTGCCAAATTGCGACATACGATCTCAGAAATCAAGAATAAATCTGTGGTTGTGGTGTTGCGATCCGCTGTACGCCAATTCTATGCTCCGGATGTACCATATCCATTCCACCAGTGTTCATATTTTCGGTATTTTACCGGTTTAAACCAACCAGATGCTGTGCTCGTTATAACAGCTGGAGCAGAGCAGGAACCGAAGTCAATTTTGTATATTGGAAGTATTGTTTTCGTATTCCGTTGTCCCTTATTGTGTGGTTACTTATTTGGATTTATTTAATACTTGTTAACAAATAAACATGATTCTTCTTATCTTTTTTGCAATTTAGATATCTATAAGTTATTACTTTGTTTTTTGTTTTTCAGAACGTTCTGAAAAGCAAGAATTATGGGAAGGTCCTGGGTTGAGTGCCAACGAAATTGCAAATATCAGTGGTCTAGATGAAATTAAAGAACGAAATGAGCTAATTCCTGATTTACAAATGCTGTTAAATACTGGCGGTTGTGCTGTTTCATATGATACTACAACAATTCATGCTATACGGGATGGCCTTCCTGAGGTAAATTAATTTTTTTTGAGATCAGTGGAGTTTTGTTACCTGTTTGTGTTAGAATCCATAGTTGATCTAACGAATTGAAGCATCATTATCATTATGGCTTGATTTTTTTCTTGTTTTTGAACTCCAATAATAACCAATCTCGGCTTCTAAATCGGCTTCTAATGATAGTTCTTAATTCAGTTCGATTAATTTACTCGTTAGACATATTGCTGTTAAATTTAAGAAAAGTCGAAAAAACATTTAGAAATTAACGGTTGGATTAGAATTGAAAACATTGATCTTTTTTCATATGATCAGTGTTTTCATATGTTAGGGTTGGGAAATTATAGTGTAATTTCGTTGATACTATTAATTGAATGGATGGAATGAAAGAATCGGGATTGAAGGTGTTGTCAGCGTGTAATACGTCTGTACCAGTACGTGAACATATTGATACTTTACGATGGATTAAGTCATCAGCCGAACAACACCTGATGCGCCGGACATGTTGGATCGGAGCACAGTCTATGAATGCAATGATAGCAAAAAGTCGAGGGGCTAGTAATGAAAACGAAATTGTCGGGCGATTAGAGCTGGAGATGCGACGTCGTGGCGCTGCCGGTCTTGCCTATCCACCAGTAGTAGCTGCTGGCAATCGTGCTAACATCATACATTATCTGGATGCAGATAAGGTTTTTTTTTTTCCACATTGCAGTGAATTTGAATTTCTGTATGCAGAAATTCTTAAATTTAAAATTTTACTTTTAGGCAATCAATAGTGGTGATACAATGCTTGTAGATGCTGGCTGTGATTACGATGGTTATTCAAGCGATATCACACGGGTTTTCCCAATTTCTGGTCATTTTAGTGTTCCACAAAGAGCTATCTATGATGCTCTGAATGACGTACAGTCTCGTCTCCTAGATTATCTTAGGCAAACTGAATTGCTGAGACTAAATGAAATATATCTAGCAATGATCGAATATATTGCGGAGAATCTTTCTGAAGTAGGAATGTATCCGAGCAGTATGGGAAAGGAGGAATTGCTCTTTGTAAGTTTGCGCTTCCTTTCCATATTTTCAAAAAATTTGCCGAATAAATGCAAATGAATCATTACCTAGTAAACTTTCAAAGTTCCTTTTTTTCAGGAAGCGGATAGAATCTGTCCTCATCACGTGAGTCATTATCTTGGAATGGATGTACATGATACTGCTTCTGTGGCTCGTAATATCCCCTTACAAGCGGGAGTTGCATTCACCGTAGAACCAGGTATGGTTGTTCTAGATTATGATATAAGGTGGAGTGATTATGCTTTTGGTGGCAAGAAGAATCAACTAAACGAAGACTGATGGAATGAAAGCTATTTTCTTTTCTCTGCTTGTTTTTAGGTATTTACGTTCGGCATGATAATGAAAAAGTGAGGAATGAGTTTCGTGGTATTGGCATGCGTATCGAAGATGATATTTTGCTTGATTCGAATGGTGCAGTGGAAGTGCTTACTAAAGATGCTGTTAGAGATCCAGAAAGCATCGAATTACTAATGATGACAGGACGTGTTGAGCAAAACAATGATGACCTTTGTATGTTGCGAAATTTATCTCAGTGATTAGAATAGAATGTAAATTTCAAACTGTATTCTGAAACCATGAATTATTTCGATGACGTGATGAAGGATTATTTCCTGTAATTTCATCATATTACTGCTCTTTTTTTCTCATTATTATGCATGTCTCTATTCCAGAAGAATTTATCGTTGTTGCTGCTTGTTAACAATCATTTGATTAAAATATGTATAAAATTTACTCCACTGAAACTGAAACTGTTGGGCTGCATGCATGTTATTGCAAGTAGAAGGGAATTGGGTATCAAAATAAATTATTATTGCAGAAAGAGGTCCCGAGAACAATAAACTTGGTCATATATCTTAATTAAAGATACTAGACAAGAACGGAATATTGCTGAGATTAATTCGGAAATTTTCGAAAATTCCATTTGTGAAGCCTTGATAAATCAAATATTTTGATAAGACATGTTGTGCAGCCAAATATAGCTATGGAGTATAAGGTAAAATCTGCATCAAGGATTTCAGTGTAATCATAATTCAAGTTATAATAGAGCTGAATGGAAAGTATTCATTTCGGCGAGATCTATATGATTTTGCTGTTCTTTCTGCTGCTTTTGTTGATCGTGATAATGGTGGCAGTGACTCTGATAATGTCCAGGATGAAGATGATGAATGTCCAGTGAAGGGCCAAGATTCGTCGAGGAACATCTTGTTGGTTCCCAAATGACCGCATTTTTTCCATTACTGTCTGCCAACGAAGCTGATCCCATTGTTGCGGCTTCGAGACTTTTACGTTTCCGCTCTTCGACATGTCGCCTAATTCTTCGTTGCCACAGAATCACCGATATGATGAATAATATCAGGAGAAAGATTATTGAGCATGTTGATATGATAATATGTTGAGAATAGCCTAAGAATCATTGCATCTATCGAATGAGAAGCACAGATGGATAGATATGATTCTTATCAATTAATCTACATTTAATCCCTCAGTATTGTAATTTTTTTCTTCCCAAAAAAATGTAATGGAAGCTTTATATTGTTTCCGTTACTACAACTTATCCATTAACGTTGAAAAATTTTAAATGAACTTAGTTAGATAAGCATTATCTAAGGCTTATCACTCGAGGTTTATTTTGCATAGTTTAACTTCAACTACGCCGTGATATGTGATAGGAACTTTAGAAAACTTCCTGGAGATTCCATCAACAGTGTATTCTTCAAGGTTCATCTATCTTTTATGCTACAATCTTAACGTTAAGTGAAGAAAAAAAAAAAGCGCAACTTACAATTCTCTTCATCCGTATAATCGTTTTCGGCGCAATTATACACACCGTTGCAGATAAGCGATTTATCAATGCACAATTGAGTCCGACTTGCGCAAACGTTCTGTCCGTCATCGACACATAGTTCGCCACCTTTGCAAGCAAAACCCTGCAGTTTTTCCTTTTTTTATTTATTCATTTATTTTTGTTTCTGTTTACATCAATGTTATTAAGTTATCACTAAAAATTTTAAACTCCTTTAACAAATTTGAACTCGCAATGAGAAATCTTCGGATAAACTGTTGAGGAAGGATGAAAATCAGATTTTTCCGAACTATTCCGGATTTGCTCACTGTAGACTATCTTGACTAGCAGCGCAATTGTATCTCAAACGCAAGTAATGAATGTGGGTCTTTCGATATGTTCTGATAAAAATATCATCTACTTCAACTGTTTGTTTCCATCAATTATCAGTAAATGTCTGTCCTTCTTCCATTCATTCTTATCACTTTTTTCTTTTTATCAAGCTCAACTGAAATTTGCCAAAATTGGCGTAATTTAACTAGCAACTAATTATCTGTAATACAATTACGTGTGGATGTTGAAATTTTAAAAGGACTTCTGACACTTTCATATAAAAGGGTTTTTTTTTTTTGTTCAAGATAAAAAATCAAATTACTGGGCAAACATTTCCTTCCGGTAAAATTTTCTGAACTTCGGTCCATATCAAACGGAAACCAATCGGTTTACCCTGTTTCTCATACTTTGTTAGCAATGATGGACTTGGATGATCTTTCGTTACAAATCTAAAAAAAAATTACAATTATTTGATTCCATCGCTTATTGTTTTGCTTAATGAGAGATGAATGAAATCAACAACAATCAATAAGCATTATTGTATTACTATTATTTTCAAGTACTAATGACTTCAAGTATTATTATCTCTAAGTATTGTTTTTTTTTTTAAAGTATTGCTGTCTTTATTATTGTTTTCAAGTATTGCTGTCTTTTCATTATACAATAGATGAAAACTTCCGAAAATGAATTGGTTGATTACTGATTAAAATAGAAATAGAAGATAAGATAGTACCGAACGATGAGACGATTCCCGGTGGACATATACGACTTCATACCTTCCTCGGTATAATAAAGTTGACTGCCACAGAAGTTCACTTGACCTGTATCATCTTTTGTTACAATATCTGTTGTTGAATCATGACGATAACCGTCTATTATATACACTGATGCTTTATCACATTCTGCTGCAAATCTATCAAAAGTTGACAATTCGGTTTTCTATCGGAAATTGAGTTATCAAAAAGATTATAATATTAATTAAATATTTAATAATTATACGATATATATCTATTATTGGTCGATTAAAAAATATTCGGCTAGATTCTTTGAAATGTTAATTAAATACTTAATAAGTAAGACAGTATATGTTTATTGTTGGTTGATTAGAAGAAAAATCTTCGTTAAGTTCTTTATTAGGAATTAAATTATGGAATAAAATTAAAATCTTAATTAAATATTTAATAATTACGAAAAACTAGCCAACTAACTAACCCATTGTTGGTGATAATTCAAGATACTGTACACGTATATAAATTTTTTTACCAGGATTTACACGTAACAACCAATTACATGTAACATTTTTTGGATAAAATGACGGATAACCAGGACTTCGTATTTCACCATTGAATGCTTTCATACTGCTATGACCGCCGCAGTGTCGCAGATACCTCAGATCATCATCGAAATAGCTACTAGCTGGTTCAAATACTGATTCTGAAAAGTGGAATATTTAAGCAATATTTGAAAATTGTAAATTTGATTCGAATTAATCATAAATGAAATTTATTTTGTGGAAATGCTTTTGGTCATTTTATTCTGTCACAACAAATTTTTCTTCCTTTCATTTTATTTTTAAATCGATTTTGCGATAAAATTTGATAAAATAATTGGAAAAACGATACGCTCAATATGGATAATGTGAAGCAACATTTATTTGTTATAAAGATACAGATGAAGATTATCAATATTATCATTTTCAATGAGTTATCATTTATAGTAATTTCAATTTGTGATCATCATCATTGATCTCATGAATTCAAAATAATGGTCCTAATTTTCAAATTACCGTAATAATGAAGAATCAGAAATGAAGTGTTTGAGTAAAATAGTCAAAGCGGAAAAATTGAAACTTTTGAGAACATTTTAATTTTTAACCATACTCATATATTTTTTGAATTTGGCGTAAATTATCAGCTGGGAATCTCTTGTCAATGTTTCCGCCACTCTTCATTATCTTTGTGCTTTGATAGAAGCGATGATTCTTGGCGTGATATTACCGTGAAATGCGTGACTAACTTTTTATAAATCTTATGCACTGAATACCAAAGAACAATCTGAATAAATGTAATTGTTGAATATCCGTAGAAATAACTGTCTCATTCGATGTCTACTGCTTTGATATGCTTCGACCAGAACATTGTGAGCATTGGACAGGCGCAAATTGTTCTTTAGCATTCAGAAGAAAAGATTCATTTAATGTATTTTATGCCAAGAGACACTTCTATTCCTATCAAAAGTATTTCAACTCTTTCACTTTTGTCGTTTTACTCCACTTTTGTTATTTCGTCATCTTTTCATCATTTCTAGTCCTGTTTTTTTTTCTCGTTTTTCACCTCACTTTTAATTTTTTTTGATTTCTTACTTACACTTCTCACTTTCAATTTTTTTTAAAATAGTTGTGAATTTTTTTTGCTGAAATTGTTATTTCTTGCTATAATTCCTTCCCATGTCTTTTGTTTACTGAGATATCGCGGGTTAAGCAAGGACAAATCCTTCTAGAATTTGTCCCTGCTTAACTTGCGACATATATGGTAAAGAGAAGGAATATGAAATCCCCCCATCAATTTGCTTACCTTGTTAGGGATAAAGAGGGGAAATTGATCATTTGGAAGTCAGGTAGTACTATGAGTATAACGTAAATCTGCCACAAATATTTAAATTCAAAAAAAAAAAAAGTGGAAACAAACCTTCCATCAGGAACTGATAACGTAGTCGGAAACCTGAGTACTCGTCCGTGTGTGAGGAATGAAAACGAATATAAACCGAATTTTGCATGGTATATAAAGGTTCAGGGAGTTGATTACCACAGAAGCGTTCACCAACATGTTCACGTCCTTGACGATCCACTACAGTAATGATCAGATAATCATTAAGGCATTGATTAGAGCGTAGCGTGCGGCCCTCCAGGTGGAAGTGGGTGAAAGTTAGATGAATTACCAAGTTTTCAGAGGCAGTTATATTGAAAAGGCAGTCCTGATTAGACGGATAGCTGAATGGATAATTGGGAGATGTCAAATAACCTCCTGACGCTTCCTTCCCATGAATTTCCTGTTTTTCACATGGTTTCTGTGAATGTGATTGTTGTTGCTGTTGTCCTTCTGTTGACTTTGTAACACCTATCATAAAAGCCAGCAACAGGAGAACAACATTCATTCATTTATCTGTCCAACCCACTTGATTGGCTTATCTGTTTAGCAGTTTGTTTACTGCTTAATCAAATTATTTTCCCAAATTTGGGTACTTTACTTGTTGTTGCTGTAAATATTAGTGAATAATAATAATTTAACAATATATCCTCAACAATAACAATAAATTTGATACAGCTATTAACATAGAAAATAAACAGAACAGGACGACAGCAGCAATAGTACGTCCTAATAGGCAATTACAGGACAATTTTTTGTTTCATAAAAATTACAAAACTTCTAGGACAATATAATAGTTCTCGCGAGCAATAACGGCATTCGTTAAAAATAACTAACAGGATCTGAAGGTTTCTTAAAAATTGATGCCATTTTATTTTTATCTTTATAAAAATAGTTCAAATAACTCGCTAAAAATACTGATTGAATCGGAGGGCTAACTGATCGTCTAGCAAATACCAACGGTAACAGTTATTAATTCAGGCCGTAACGTTTAAGTCGAAAAGCGGTCTGGGAAGGTTCGGCAAGCATACTTGGAGTCGTGAAGAGCAATTTTCGGGCTGATAACCAGTAGGCCTGCATGCATCGATCCCTACGCATTAAGCATACTCCATCGCCTCCTTCCGTTTTCTTTAGTGCGCACGCTTCTGGTCCATATAGCAGTACTCGTTTCTGCAAATAAAACATTAAAAGTGGGTAGAGGAAAAATAGGATGATGGTTTACGAGGCAAAACGAAGAGTGTAAAGAGTGAATAAAAGATGTACTGCATCAAAGTCTTGTCTCCCATGCGTCTCCAGCCGACCACATTTACTTCCCTAAAAATTACTTTCAAACCCTACCTCGCTCATCTAAACATTACGGATGATATCTTCCTGAATTCCTTCTACTCCTCCTAGACATCTTCCTCTTCATCCATGATGAGTCTCAATTCAAGTTCATCACGCCCCTCCAAGCCTTAGAAGTAAAGGGAAGGCAAAATCAAGGATGCATACGAAACTAATCGTATTTTTGAATGGCCACCAATTCGCACACCATGTATGGATATATTATTAGGGTTTGCTACGCTGCCAAGCCATCGGACGATTTGGTAAATTATCATGTATAATACTTATTGCTCACTAAACATAGAGCCATCGTATTTCTGGTCCAAATTAAATTTTCAGGAGGAAGTCTTTTTTTTTCACCTACCAGTTTTCTGATCAAAAGACGGTAGATCTCATTATTTCTTAGAATTCAAACATTGTAGTTTTCAAAAAAGTTTTGAGTACTATACATATATACATGTGAACCCAGTTAAGAAAATTTGTAAACTTTATGTGTCCCTAATTTAATTCGGAAAGGAGGAAAATTAGAAAATTATCTTAACCACTGCATTTCATTTCACTTTATATAAATACATATATATATATCAAGACATAAAATACTTTTCTCTGTGTAAAACCGACTCAGCGGATTATTTGACCATAAGGTTCAGCAGATTAATAGATTATTTATCCACTGAGTCTTCATCTCTATATTTCCCCTGGTCAAAAACTGGATTTTTCCTCCCACAGCTATATGCATATTAATTAGGACACTTACTCCATTGATAAGCGCAATAACCCGAAAACTGCCTCGTGAACCACTCAAGACAACACCACTTGAACTATTGCAATCCATTTGTAAAACTAATTCATCTGTTAACATGCATAATGCTTCCGTTGAAATCGTACTACCACTAAGAATATTTGTATCGGTATTATATTCGATAAGTGTATGCTTTCTATCAGCACAGAGAATATAGAGCGAAGCAAAATTAATAAATTGAACATCGATGAAAATGTCTGTGCCGGGAATTTCCAACTTTCGCAATATCTATAAAAAATGAATACTGCTTAAAAAGAGTGAACAGAAATATCTAACGATTTAAAATACTTTTCCCTGTAAAACCGGTTCAACAGATTACTTGACTATAAGATTAGTAGCAGTTATTACAACAATTAAAGAGAAATTTTCAAAGATAACAAAACAAAGAAGTAAAAGAAAAAAACCGAAGCAAGACATAAGAAAGAACACATTAGGAAGGGAGTACTCAGCAGCTAAGAATTTGCGTTTATGAATAACAGATAAAGAAACGCTTACTCCACTCCTATGAAATCAGCTGATATAAAAAAACGCAAAATATAATATGCACTCAGAGCACTGGAGGTAAAAATAGTAGAAGAATAAAATAAAATACTTAACTGCAAATAACATTAAAATTCACTCTAGTTTAACATACCCTAACAAAGAACATTTTTTAAAAAAAAAACCTTTTTGCGGATTTCCAGAACAAAAATTTCATTTCGCGCTGTGAGCAATACAACCGACGTTTCGGTTATGTTAGGGTGTAATCGAACTACCTCACCGGCATTATCTGAAAACCAGTAATACTCATATGGAAAACATATACTACCCTCATGTGTCCTATCTCTATAAATTTATTAGTCTATAAATTAATGAAGTATCTGTCAAGAAAAAAGATTAGAAATTTAGCTCTGGAGAAGGGGTGATTAATCAAAAAGCAACAGAAGCACCTCTTTCGGCGATTACATCTGGATATTCTGGTATCGGATCACCAATTGATAAGCCAGATATCCTAAGGCATCCGGATGCAATAAATAAAGACGTTGATGTAAATAACAATCCCGTCCCACAAATATCCATTCTTTTCATGACAGATATACTGGGTTCTTTTGAGGAACTGAGATCCAGTTTGTAAAGGGTTGTTGTACAAACTGTAGATACTGCCAACAAACTACCTTCACGGTTAAGTGCACTGGGAAATACAATAAAATGTTAATTACTATAATGACAGGAAGAGATTATATGCCTATGATCTCACATGATCAAAGCTTAACGAGACGAAATTTAAATGCAGGATAAATAATATACGCATATCTTTCCTGCAGTCGTTTTTTGAGGAGCAGATATTTATTAGTTAAAACAGCCAAGGTTAAAAATTGCTTTCGTAATTCGAGAGGTTCGTCCCAAAAACTAACAGCAAAATCAACTTACCTTGATCTAATGAATTCTCCACGATGAGACCGTAATTGAGCTAACTTAACCGGACCCCTTGACAAGCAATAAATTCCTTTCTCTGACGCTACTGTATTGGGTTTACCAGCTTCCCAAATAACAATGCGATCATCATACTGGTAGGAAAAGAGATTCGCATCCACCGCGACACTACAGAATATCTAAAAAGTATTTCATCGAGATAACTTATTTCTGATAAAAGGAGCAGTTCATCTCTAACAGATCATTTCCAGACAAAACATGTTGCGATTATCATAATAGCAACTCTGCTGATTTTAGTGACTTCCAACACTATGAAAACATTTGGGAAAAGCTCAAGAAATAGTTTTATGAAAAAAACATACAAATGAATTTTGAAACTAACATTTTTTAAAGCATCAGCATGTTTAAAACGATTACTGATGCAAAAATAGTAATCGGCACCACCGGAATAGAGAGATGTTGTATGTTTTGATGCAATCAGAGCTCTTACGTCATTGCTATGAATTGTCCTTCGATGTTCAACGCGATAAGCAGTACGTTCCTGTAATTGATTTGCAAAGTTGAAATGTGCAAAAATAAAGGTTTATTATTGAACATATGGTCATCCTCCTCCCACATATATTTATTTAATCAACGATTCTGATCAAAATAAGAATATTTGCTTTTTTTTTCCGCTTAAAATTTCATAATGTGACTCGTTCGAATGCTACTCCCCTCTCCAGTTAAGTAACAAATATATAAACCTGATTAAGCCCAAGTCGAGCAATCGTAGGATCTACACCGGCAGCGTAAAGTGATTGATTCACCACAGTTAGCGATAAAATATCACTTTGGTGTGTTTGTAAACACTGAAAAAACTTGCTTTAAATAGCATTTACCCAAGATTAACCCAAATATTACACTAATTTACTGATTTTTTTTTTTGAAATGAAGATGTGAAAAAAACAATATTACTTGTGAAAATGCTCCATTCGATGTATTCCAGAATGTTACATACCCTCGTGAATCACCCGATGCCAATAAATCGCCACTGAAATCATTCCTTACAGTTTTCCTTTAGAATGTACCATTAATTGAAATCAGATTTGCCTTTATTTTTATTTCGGTAAAGAGACAAGTCCCTGCCAAGAACTAAACATCTGGAAGCGTAATTTTACAACAAAACTAGCATGGCAAAGGAGAGGACTTATGTCCAAAAATAGAAAAAAATTTTAGCGATTGAGACTTTTTAATTTATTAAAATTGCACACTAAAAGAACACTATTACGAAAAAATGAAACGAAAATGAAAGTAACTTACATGAAACATAAGCACCAAACAACAGTTGGTTTCCGTTTTTCGATCCGAGGTAATTTCATTCTATGTTCTATTCGTTGTTTCGGTACGCTTATAAGACTGATTTCATCCATCGTTCCAGCAGCGATAATATCGCTATTGCATGCCAGTGACATAACGTGCACACCAAAGCCTGACAATAATAATTCATCTTTTTTAAAATTTATTTAGTCATTCAAATTCATGCAAATAGAATTATTTTTAAATCAAAAATCCCTCAATCAAAAGTCATAAGAATAACATCAAATTATGAGATCCTTCATTTATTTCGTTATTCCTCCCCTAGGTGAACAAAAGTTTTTTTGAATTTGGTAAATCACTGATATTGACAAGAAAATGGAACAAGTAAAATACTACGCTTAGATTTCGGAATACATAAAAATTACCAATAGATACAGTCTTGCTCAAAGCAATACGATCATTCTCTTCCAAAGAGAGCATTAGCACAGCTCCTGAATCTGAACCAGCACAAAAGGCGCTTCCTGTTATTGAGGCCAAACACCACAATGGACTTGGTGTAAGTGAAGCAATCTAGAAATACAAATTATACAATAAAGAATTTAAGAATTCAACACATGAAAAAAGGGATAAAAGACAATGATGAAATACTGATTACGTGATGGCTAAAATTATATAAATTATATTAATCACTTAGTAAATAAATTTACTGGAAGACAATACAATTATTTCATTCCAATTATTTGATCTGATTGTCTGATTACTAATAACCAAAAATCTCATTCTTTGTTGAAATTCAGATTTTCAAAAAAATGTTTTTTGCACTGTTTATTGTGCATAGTTGTCAAGTATTTTGAAAGTCCATCCCAAAAAACTTCATAATTGACATAACTCACAGAGTATTCCGAAGTATGAAGACGATGACATGTTATCGAACCGTCAAGATGTGCGGCAAGTAAAATATCGCCCTTCCAAAGCAGTGATTCGGCAGTTTTATTTCCAAGAAATGTGCTTCGGACATAAAACATTGGTGTACCAATTACATTCCAAAATTCTATCACGCCATTACGTTTTCTATCCCTATAAAATATTTTGTTGGAAGATGCAAGGAGTGAAATTCAAAATTTTCGAATAAAACCTATCTAATCGTCGAGCATTTGCAAAAGATTTAAATACAGAAAAGCAAATAAATTTGTAAATGAGCTGAGTCACAGCTTTGATTGTAGTAAAAATGCCTTCCTACTACAATAATAAAGATTCTACTACAGCAATAAAGAGCATTTCTTGTATAGGAGATAATTTGTAGGCTTATAAATTAAGTAAGAGTTGGAATCTCAATAGTGATGGCTGTTCATTAAAATCAATATACTAATAAAAAAAGAAAATTATTTAGAAACAAACAATACTTCCGAATGAAATGAAGAAAATAATAGACCAAATCGTATGTCAAGAGAAGAACAGGTCAAGCAGACTAAACATGGATATGTTCAATCGCGAAATCGCACATCGGGAAACCGGTAGTGTCAAGGCAAAAGTTTAGGGGCTTAGCGAACAAAAGCAAAACTTACCCGAAATCGGAATGTCGAGCAACAGACAGGATACCCTGCCGTTCATCTAGCGCTAGGCAATTAACCGTGTAAGGTTCATGCTCAAATAAATCACATTCATGTACTTCGAAACCACCCATTCCATTCATTACACTTTTTCCTCGTTTTTCTAAAATTTATGTAAAACCATCATATCACAAGTATCATCAAATCAATGACTTCATCAGTGACCACATCTATGTGGTTACAAACATCACTAGAATAAGCTGTGAACTCTCCAGTACCTTATGCCTTTAGAAATCTTAATTCCACTAACTACCTGAAGGAATATTAACTTATCCGGAGAGAGAGAGAAGGAAGCTTTTTCATTTGGACAGATGCCTTAACTACAGTGAACTCAAAATCTACAAGGACTTGGCGGCTTTCTACTAAGTCGTTTCATGATATTGACGATTTCCTGCAAATAAATATATCTCTTAGTACAGACAGTGGATGGATGTCAGATGATACGAATTCAAGTACGCCACTTTGTTAAAAATGTAAAATGAGAGAGAAATTTTATTCCGGGAAATGGTTCACTTATGTACAAGACAATGATGCCAAAAAAGCTTGAAATTGGGATTTTGAAATTTAGAAACTGACATATTTCAAATAAGAATATGGCAATTTCTCAATCGTTAAACAGCTATAAAATAACCCAAACATCGCACTATAACAACTGCAAACATAAAAAAGTTCCACCGCTATAATGAAACATAACAATACGTTACCACCCTATTTCTTGTGGCACAAAGAAAACAATAAAATTAAATGTCTCAAGCACCATACGGAACCATTTCAAAATATGTTAGAATTGCACATGTCGGATAAATTAAATTCCGCACTAAGTAATGGAAATATTAACAAAGGTGCAGGAAATCACATCAAGCGATAAGTAGGCAGTAATATATATATAAGATTAAACCGAAAAGTAGTTGCCATGAAACAGCAGTAATCTGTCGAAGTTGACGTAACAGAAACAAATACCTAACAAAAAAAACTTCGATTTTGGGGGAACTTATTTAATAGACGGACCTATTTTTTGGCTTATATTCACCGCCATAGGACTCAAGTGGAGATATTATCAGTTATCACCAAGATATGCTGTTTTAGCTACTGATCATCTACCTCCCAAAAACTTCATATTCTGTTCCAATACCGATCAAAATCGGTAATCCGCTCATATTTCAATCAGATTCATGAAACTTAAAAAAATCTAAAGCAAAAGCAACCTTAGAGAAAATACCAAATACCAAATACTGTTCAAAGAATACCTAAAATAATAGATGGAACTGGAAGGAAACTTGAAAAGACCAAACGCTGATGTGCTCTTCACAGAAAAGCGTGATGGTAATAAACAAAGGTATTGTCTATAAAAAAAAACGATGTGAAATACATATGTAAAAGCTAAAACGGGGCTATGATCGATGTAAACTATGCAGTCATAGTTGTATTTTGTAGCAAATTTAAACAGAGACATGCACTATATGAAAATTAACACATCAATAATTTGACGCAGGAATTTTGACTGCAAAAGTCTTTAAAATAAAATAAAGGAAAATTTACAATTCACAGATCAGTATCAAACCATAAAGGACTTCGATTATTGGTCTGGTAGGGCGGAGGATGTTGCCACGATTGAGGATGATCCAGTTGTTCCATTTCTGAGGAATGATACATTTCAGCAAAAAGTTCTGGTTCTAGACCATCGTGCATCCACTCTTCACCATTGTTTATCATAGTTTCAATTTCTGTGTCCAGTTCTCCACGATACATTGATGGCTTGTCAAATTGGAGATTTTTCAATACACCAGATGCATATGTTGCTAATAAAAAAAAAATTTTCTTTTTCCAGCTACTTTTCGTTTCCTTTTTTTTTGTCCGTGACACATTAATACTTGGCTATAATCGGCATGATATACATGCACTTAGGTTAAATTCTGTGGAAGACCGTTACTTGAGATTCATTACTTACGCTCGTCAATTTATGAATTGCTGTTAATTTAACAAGAAGCGTTAAGTATTATTAATTTATAATTTCGAGAAGAACCTACAAATTGCTCTATGCTTGGAATGTAGCGCATCAGCGAGTACAGGCATTAGTCCATACATATTTAGCTGCCGTGCACCTTCTGGGGTCTTTGAGAGTTGATAAAGAAGTCCCAGAAGTTCACGCTGTAGTAATTCATCATCATTTGCGTATATTTCTTCCCAAGAAAGCAGCTAAAATTTCTTCCAAATTAGAGGAAAGTATAATTCACTTAAAACTTTAGTTGGGCAAAATCCATCTTTGCAAAAAGCGCTTTTAACAGTACTTGTAAAAAATTTTGAATAAAAGATGAACAAAAGATTTGGAAGACCTAAGTTTTTTGAAAGGACGTGTCTAACTTTGATGAGCATATCAATGAATGGGTGGTGGCGAAGCATGAAATCGGCTGATTGAGAGTCATTTCCAAGCTGATGTAATGCTGAGACAGCACCTTCAACCAATTCACGCATTGCAACACCATCTGCTAATGCATCTGGATCCTGACGTAGCTGGGTACCAGCTCGTCCTAAAACGTCCACTGCCAGGCTAACCACTGATTCTCCTTTTGATGTTGTTTCCTGCAAATTTAATATTCATGTCTAACAGTAGGCAGTAATGACGCAGAAAGTCTCGTTGAAGACAAAGTGTAGAGATGAATGAAATGTAAATTTAAAAAAAGATAAATTCACCCTAATTCAATGATACTTACATGGGTCAGGGGATGTAAGTTAGCAGGAAGGAGTGCAAGATTTCGGACAAGTCCGAGAGCTGCCTTAACAACTGGTGCTCGCATTGATGAAATTAACTCTAAAATGACAGGTAAAGTTTGTGATAAGCGAATATCACTTTGTGCCTGTGACGCCAGTGGATGTCGAGCGGTACAATGCCTCAGTGCACAAAGCGTTGGCTCTGTGACTTCCTCAACTGTTGAAAACCGTTCAAGTGCGCTACATAATGCGTCCATTCCCCTGAAATGCCAAGCTATAACCGCATTTTTTTTAAACCAAGAGCAATCATCATTTGAAAGCGAAAATTTCTCAAGAGTGAGTCGAAGAGTAATGCAGTAAAATGAACTGACCTATTGAAACATAAGGTTTGTTTGTTGCGAATATTGTTGCAAGTTAAGTTTGACAAAATGCCAGCAGCACATGCATTTGTTGATTCTTCACCAGTGGCAACAACATGAATTAAATTGATAATCAGAGGTCCTAAGCTGCTTTCGTTAGCTGCCGCATCTGATAAATTGCGAATAGCACAAAGAATGGCAAATTGGGTTCTGTTATCGACGTTATCAATGAAGTCACCCAAAACAATGAGTACTCCTGAAAAGGAAGATACAAAAAAAAAGGAAAAAAAACCTGAACACGAAACTGTCGGATTTACACTGAGAAAAGATTACACTGGATGTCCACCTACACCTATTCCAATAGATGATCCTTTGCCAATACTAATAATTTTTATTTAGTTCGTCCAAACTGCAACCCATTTCATCATAATAATGTCAAAAGACTACAACCTAATTATCAAATATTGTGAAATAACTCATTATGAATGGAATTCTTACCAAAAGAAATGAGAGCGGCTTTGTTTTGTGGGCACACAGAAAGTGCCCGAATGCAGCGTACTACAGTATAAACAAGCTTTGGATAATGACGATGTGTATCCAAAAGATCGATTAGTGACGATGGACCACTTAAGGAAAGAAATGAAAGTTTGCTTTGTGGGTTGTCCAGTAATAGAAGGTAGAGCGAATCCGTTAACAATGCCAAGAAACGTGGATTATTTTCCCGAAGAAGTGGCGTCATCGCTTCCAAACCTCCACATCCCCTCGTTTCCTGCAAATAGATTCGGAAATAAAATCTGAAAAACTGAGAAAAATGCCTGGTTAAAAAATAAAAAGTAAAAGTTGACCTCTTTTGCATAATCCATGAAAAGAAGCAAATTATGAAGTGTGGTGATGGCATAGTGACGAACAGCATCTAATGGAATTCCAAGCATTCGAACTAACTCCGGAATACCACCAGAACGGAATATTTGCATGCGCCCTTCTGCATACTCCGAAATATGTGAAAGAGCACCAAGTGCATCTTTTCGTATGGCATCATTTTCCAGTCTAAAATCTCCTTATGATCAATCGATTGCTTCGAAATAAAAACCTAATAAAAAAAACCTAACAATAAGGGCCTCAAAATTTTTTTTTTTGTAAATCTGCAATCATTTTGAATCGTAATAAAATCAAACAGTGTTTGTGCAAAAGTCAATGAGGAATACCGAGTGACATTGAATAAAGCATTAACAAGAGCTGGATTTGAAGCTATTGCATTCACGGATTTGTTTTCACGCGATAACATATGCACCATATGAACAGTTCGCATAATTACTGTCTGTAAGCGAGATTCATCATATATGAAAACCCTGATTCTGACAGTTAAATGACTAGAATGAGAAACCCACCTCTCCTCAAATGCTCGGTCACTTCCAGTGCGAAGTAGTTCACAACCGGAGATGCACTAAATGGGGTGATAGAATCGCCCCAGCACCAGAAAATATTAGAGAATGGCTCAAATTTTTTGCCCAGCAATTCATTTATTTATTTCTTCTACCTAATAGATAAAAGTAACAAAAATAGGAAAAAAACTATCAAAAATATGAAAAAAAAAATGGACTGCACCAGTGACCAACACAACTTGCTTAGTAGTTGGAATGAGAAAGCATTTTGAAATTCGGAAATGAAACTTGTACCAAAAAAGATTGCAATCGTTATTCGGAAGTCTTTTTATATCCTTTGAACCTAGCAAATCTTAGATGTATGCCCAGTAAATTGATTAGTTTCAACGTAAATTACACATTTCTTCCCAACAAAAGTGCCTGATTACACGACAAACAATCGACTTTAAAAGCTGAACAATTAAGCTACGAAATTTTATCATCGTTCACATTCATTTGACCTCTCACCAACCTCCTCGATCAATCCAGCAACACTTCCAGGCAAACAAGCAGGATGGAAAAAATGCTCTCCAAAAGTTCACAAAATTCTAAAGTATGAATCTTGAGGGAGAAAAAAAAGACAAGCTCTTTTTAAGTAAAAATGTACTGAATGCAAAATATGTTTCAAGTGTAATTACAATGATTTTAAATCCATATTTCGGAACCGTAATAAGTTGTTTTGACTAACCTAACGACGTCATTTTGTATACTTTAGATCACAGTACTCCTACTTCTGATGGGGCAGTGCTTCTATATTCTATAATAAAGAAAGCTTAAATATAAAAGAAGCCCTTACTTCGTATAATTGTAACTAACCTCATCTTTATCCGCGAGTAATTTTACAAGTTCAGGAATTGCTTTCGTCGTTAATTCTGTTTCATCCTGGAGACTAAGCAATTCCATGACGGCGGTTGTTAACAGTTGGCTTGGTTCCGCTAGTTTCGCGACAATTGTTGAACGATGTGGCAATGATACCATACTACTAGCTTTATCAGGACATAAATCAGGGAACATTGCAGCGCGGATGCGATCACTGCGCGTTTGTGCATAACTTTCATCTATTTCTGTAACTAGTATTGCATTTTCAACTTTTTCAGCTCAGAACTTCCTTACGAAACTTAATCTTCCCTACTAAATACACAGGATCATGATGCTTACTCACAGGATTGCTCGATAAATGATGCAGTAAGTTTACTGACAGCAATGTAACGAAACAGATGACACAATTTCTTATAGGACTCTAAGCTCATCATGTCAGCCATCAAAATACACCAACCAGTCTCACCATATCGGTCACTAATTTATTTTGAACATCCATATCAGTCAAAATCAGTATTTAACACAATAAAAAGAAATGATGAGCCTTTTGAAGAAATAGGATAAATGCTAAATATTAACTTTAAAAAGAATCCGGAACTGTAAAAAAACCCCAAAAACAACACTAACCAGTGTGAAGATAATCCTTCATCAAATTAAACCTCTTCATTTATAAGTACAGTATGAAGACTGTTCCCGTTCATACTATTAAGACTATCTCAAACACAACTATTCCTTCTCCATACGACCTGAAGTTTTTCCTAAAGTTCCTCCTTTTTTGGAAGTAATATATTACTCTAATTTTTTGCCTCAAATCCACAATATAAGTAATCATCTTGTTGCGCTAAGCTATTCGAAACACATGTCAACTTACCGTTAAATATCACGTAGGCATAATTTGTTTCGGAATCGCTGCTGAGCAAAGGAGACAGATTATAATGCAGACGTGAAGCCTCGCCATTCTCCATTCTTATCCTTTTATTTTTGAAAAAAAAAGTGATTTGAGCTACATTTATGGAGAAATATTATGCGACATGAGCTAACAGATTATAACTGCAAAAGTATATGGTACAACTTTCTCATCCTTCCAGATTGTTTGAAATTAAAATTTAAACAGTTAACATTGATATGCATCCCTGCCAATGTCCCGGTATGCAAATATGATTATGGGAAGTACCCTTTAAAAGTCTGTGATAACCAATTTTCGGAAACCAGTGGCTACTTACCCAATAAACATCAGGTTCTAGAGAAGCCAAGTACCTATCATAGTCACCAACCATCCTCAACAATACAAACACTAGTCATATTTCACGGCGGCCGTGGGAAAGGACAGCGCAGGAGCAATTTATTAGTTTCTGCCTCTGTATGCCGATATTCAGGTTTCACATCTTGATTCTAAATTTTCCGGTTTTTGCATTGTTCCATCTCTTGTTGCTTGTTTGGATGTTGCGCTCATTTTTTCAAGGTTTTTATAGAATTAATAAAAAAGCGTAGGAAACGTGAATGTATATAACATCGAATCCAGTGCTGTGTCCGTTTCTAATGATGGTTCAAGTTGAGGATCAGTAGTGAATGTTTTGAAAATGTTCAAATTGAAATGAAAAAGGAGAAAAAAAATCAACACTTGAAGTTACAAATCTCTGTCGAAATTTCTTCGTAAAGCTCTAACCGAAAATATTCTCAAATGTCCTTAATGGATGATTTTCCTGAGGTGTAAATTAGAACCGCGATGATTGGATTTCCATCTTTAAAGACTACTAAATATGTTATTCAAACAAATATAAATTACGAGAAATGATTCTCAGAGCAAAAGCCATGTGAATGAATGAAAGACAGTTGTATTAAGAAATTTCATCTTTAGGTTTCCAGCATGATGCGGTACTTTCTTCGTTGGCGCCTCTTTCATATTCTACGAAATACTAGATTTTTTTTTTTTAAACATATCTGACGCTACGATGAAAAAAGACGAGATTTGTAAGAGTAAATAAAATGCTTACTGTTGAAAATTTGCGCTTAAATTAGGGAAGAATCCTGGCATCACTCCCATTGCATTGATCAAAACTATATCGTTACCATTTTACCACCATATCCAATCCATTTATCCTATGAAGTTTGGAATAGAACTGAAACTTCTTTCTCGTCCATAAAGAAGTCATTCATTTTTCAATCAGTGCCATAACTTTATCCCTGGATCACAAGCATAAATTTAAATTTCGATTAACTAAACAACGCAACACGTGAAGAATGCTTTGCATTCTGCCTTTAATACCAAAATAATTAACGACAACCAGTGTCATTCACATTACCCGGCATGCATCCGCAGATTTTTTTCGATATTTTATACCTACCATACGATAGTACAAATATTCCCCGTCTTCCATCTCTTCTATTAACGTGAACTACTGGGTAGATTCCTATGAAGCAAGGTTGGAATTGTAGTAGTTGGATTTGATGGGCCACATAATTAAGGGACTCTAAACGATGCACTTTTTCTGGCGTAGTTACGTTGTACGTTAATTTAGTTTTGTATGGAAATGTAAGTCAGTTAATGAAGAATTATGTGAATTAGCTGGATCTTTGAAGCCTTTAAAACCTTTGCATAAAATACTGTTACGTTGACATCCCATCAACACAAGAGGAATAGAACATAAGTTTTATTTTTCTTGCCAGAACTTAACTCTTTTTGAGAAATCAATGCTCTTGCAATACAATAAAATGCGCAGCAAATGGACGAAAGTGCAATTTTCGGATGGAAAGTTTCCTTGAAATGATAGTTCGCAGATGAAATTCGTATTTATCCGTTTTATCTTTTCCTCAATAATTATTTACGCAGATGAAGTTTGTATTTGTCCGTTTTATTCTTTTCTCAATAGTTGTTTACCTTCAGTTGTTGTTTGCTCCTGGGAAGTGCTGATAGAATGACAGATGGTGCACAATTAGAACGGAAACCCTCACGGAGCATCAATGATGCCCGGATTGCTGGGCTCTACGATCTACAAAAAACTATCGGCAAAGGTCATTTCGCTGTAGTCAAATTGGCAAGTCATGTTTTTACAGGTGAAAAGGTGATTTTTTACGATTATTTTAAATATTTTGTGGAACTAGATCATAAATATTGTCTGTAGATGAAAAAAAATATTCCATTTTTCATGGTATGTAATATATACCGCATTCTGCTTACTTGTTCGTGGTTACGCATATCTCGGGTCATTGGGCTACAGTAGGGAATGATGAAGCTTGATGAAATCTATACTTTTTTAGGTAGCTGTGAAAGTGATTGATAAGACAAAATTTGATTCTTCAATGGCATCTCATCTAATAAAAGAGGTGACCGAATTTTTCCATGTTAGCTATTTCTGAAAAATGAAAACTATTATTTTATAAAGAATAAATTAGTTTCAGATAGCAAGTCTCACTTCATTACGTTATGATACACTTTCCAAACAGCGAGATTTTCTTTTTTTTTTGTGCTTACATATATTTGCAGGTTCGTTGTATGAAATTGGTGCAACATCCAAATATAGTTCGTTTATATGAAGTTATCGACACACAAACGAAGTTGTTTCTAATTCTCGAATTAGGAGATTATGATATGTATGATTTTATTACGAGAAATGCTGATAAGGTTAGCATTTGAAATTCGTGTCAACATCGCATTTCCGAAAATAAGTACGTGGGTTGACAATGTATATTAATAGTTGTTGCAATGTAATCAGTTAAAAAAAAATTAATTTGTTTGCTTGAGCATTTAACATCATTAAGGGCTGTCCGGAAGGAGAAGCACAACAATATTTCTGCCAAATTATCAAAGCAATTGATTACTGTCATCAGCTGCATGTCGTTCACCGGGATCTGAAGGTACAGTACTTCATTCTGGTCATGCCAACTTTTGTTTCGACTAGTTTCCTTATTTGTAAAAAGTTGTTTTAGTGGTAAATGAAGTGAATGAACTATCATTAAATGCTTGCAGCCTGAAAATGTCGTGTTCTTCGAACGTCTGGGCATGGTGAAGTTGACGGATTTTGGGTTTAGCAATAAATTTATTCCAGGCGAGCAGCTTGAAACTGCTTGTGGCAGCTTAGCTTATTCAGCTCCGGAAATTTTACTGGGGGATTCCTATGACGCTCCAGCCGTTGGTAAACTTCTATCGATCCATCATTAAAAATATTAGAGAAATTTTCGCAGATGTATTCTGTCGGTCGCAAATTTTTATGAGCTCTCATAGTATTTTAAAATATTATGCTAAAAAAGAAAAACAGCTGGTAGATTTACACCGGTACAGGCTTTATAAAAATATTTAAGAAATAATTCGAAAAATTTGGCATTTAATCTCGTATGGTCGACAGTTATAATAAGCTTGCAATAAAAAATGCAATAAAAAATGAGAAAGTGATCGTTTATCGCGAATTTTAGATGTATGGTCACTGGGAGTTATTTTATATATGTTGTTATGCGGTCGGTTGCCATTCCAGGAAGCAAATGACTCGGAAACGTTGACGAAAATATTAGATTGCAAATATTCTGTTCCAGATACACTTTCGCTACATGCTCGCTAGTAAATTTCATTTTAGTTTGAATAATTTAATGTATAGTTTACATAGCTTCTGCTTCATTTGCACCGCAATTTTAACCAAAATCGGCTATATGAAGGCCTTCTTTCGGAAGGCCGTTATTTCTACCATTTTTATGGATTTGTTTGCACTATTCATTCCTTTCAATCTTTAGAAGCAGGTGTCCATTAGTTTTAGCTTTATAGGAAATATGGTAAAATGAATTGACAGCTTTTTAGAAAATCTCTGTTCATTCATGATATAAAGTAATGGGTTGCAGTCTCATATCACGAATGTTGGTGAAAGATGTCCAGAAGCGCGCAACGCTAAACGAAATTATTAACAATTCGTGGGTGAAAGCTGGAGATCTTGGTCTCGCTCAGATTTTACCTTTGGTTGGACGAGATGTCCTTCCGGAAAATGCACATGCTACAATTATTGACCAGATGGTAGCTGGTGGTGTTGATACGGAGGAGAACATTCTGCGGTAAGTAGGTATTCCATATTAAATAACCTTTTCGCTCTTTTGGTTGTATAGAAAATGTCTCCAGACACAAATTCAAATTGTGGAACTGTTTGCTCTTCTCAAATTCAGCTTATAAAGTTTGATTTGCAGATCACTAGATAACGACGATTATTCTTACGTTACCGCCACCTATTATTTACTTGCCGAAAGAGTTCTGGCATCTTATCGTGAAGAACGTGCCAGGAAAGCGCATGAAGTTCAGCGTCCGTCATTAAGCGACTTGCCGCCAGACTTTAAAAATTCTCTTGAAACAAGGTTTATCACCTCTAAATCTCTAATTTTATTTGATTTTAAATTACTGAACTTGAAACAAAACGGCTGTTTTCCGCTAAACGATGAGGTTTCAAACTGTGTGATCAACTTTTGATTTGATTTTTAGAAATATTAAAAAATAAACGGGAAGAATAATCTTGTCGTTTATTTCGTAGGGAAACAGTTGGGAAAAATGAAGAAGGGAGTGGTTATAAAAGCCGAAGTCGATCCAATTCATGGCGTGGTGGCACTTCTGTCTCTCTGCGGCCATGTGCAATTTTAAAAGAAGAAAGTGAAGAGGAGTTGTCAACATATCATTGCGGTACATCAAGGCAGTCGTCGAGGTATTTTTTATGTATTATTTTTATACATTTCAAGTGTTTTTTCTGTAATGGTTACAGGCAGTTTCTTATCATCATTCAAGTATTATTTCCAATTCCATTCGTTTAGATAATACAGTTAATTAGCTATCCTTATTATGTATCCTACCTGTACTATGCTAGCTTTATTATTTGCACCATTGTTTTCTCCTTGTGTCGGTTTCTTCGCTCTTCCACTAAAATTAACATTCCTATGTTCGCTGAAGCGGATTGAAAGCGCAGGATGGGATTTGGAAACTGATCAGGAATATAACAACCTTATTTGCGTGTCTCAAGTTTTATCGATTGCAACATTCAGTTTATTTCTTCTGCCAGTGCATTTTTTATTTCAACTTTTCATAATCTACTGATATATTATACTAATCTTCGACACTCTTTATGCATCCCTTATACTTGTGCTACTCGGTGGCCCATTAACAATTAACCACTACAATTAATTTTATAACCTTCACTTCTTGAAATCCTAAGTTTCTCTTACGGTAATGCTGTTACTATCAGAAACCTTCTCTAAGGCTATTATTAAGTTGAGTTGCTCATGGATTTTTATAAAATATCTACAAATTTACATTTTTAGGCACTCATCTTGCTCTCTGTCAATATTTCCTTCCAATTCTGGTTCACATGGACGAATATCACCTCAGGACATACAGGGTTTACTGGAATTATCACGTTTGAACATCGCAGAAGGTAAAAGGCGAACAGTTTCACCGGACAGCCGTTTGAGCAGCCGAAGCTCTAGCCCACCGAATTCAAGTGGCCGTGCAAGTCCTGGTATGATTTCTATCGAGTTTAATTATTATTTTATGTAATTCTGAGCTATCACTTGTGCAGTTTGGGACCAGTTTGTAAAGAGAATTTGCAATTCTAATTTGTATCTTTTCATGTATACTTTATCTTGGATGCCTTCTGATAAAATCGTAATAATTTAGCAGTTAGTCGATTAAAGGTTTCCTTTACTGGATCTAGTGGATTGCGGAAGTTGGGTTCATCGCCGCACCTGCTTGGAATTTGTGAGGTATTTCCTTTTCAGATATCTCCTTTTTTTTGACGATTTTGACGCTTTTTTTTCTGACGATTTTTTTAAATGTTCAGTACAAAGCTTCATACCACTGATTTTTATAGGAAACAGAGGAATATGAATTTGATAAAGGTGCGGAACAACGTCAAACTGTAACTCGTCATAGTATTTCTGGTGCATCGGTTTTACCTTTATCGACTTCTCGACTTTTCGTCCAACCGAAGGTATCATTTTTATAAATTTACATAATAATTTATCCTGCAAAACTGAACTGAGACACCTTTCACGGCGAGCACTATCCAGTCATGGCAAGACATATGTTCCAGAAGCTTCAAACAAGCCAAGGAAATTCCGCAATGTTGTAGCTGACGATAATCAGGCTTTGATGGATTCAATTGAATGGTGAGGAAACTGACATCTTTCAGGAGACTGATACTTAATCATTTCCAATTTGTTTATAAAATTTGAACTGTATTTGTGTTTTACATGGATCTTTTTATGCCGCATTGCATTTCTAATGCTTAAAGTTTTCGAAAAATATTTCTTTTCTATTTGTTACGTACACATTTCTCCTTTAGTTTTACTTTTTTTCTAGCTCGCTGTACAAGATTCTCTTGGTGCGCCTCTTACATATAGTAATGTACGCATGATCAGGCGACGTCAAGCGATAGTTTCACCAGATATGGCTCAAAGGTACGAGCAGAGACCGCCTTCCAGATATCATAAACCACAAAAATCACAAAGGAGCACAAGGTTTGAATATTAACCATTGCTGCAGTTGTAAACTGTTCGTAGTTTGATGTTATTTGATGGCATAGTTTCAATGGGAAAGTGAAAATTTTGATATTGTAGCTGTTCATCAAGTGAAACGTCAGATGATGACAGCGAGAGAAGATTGAATTTTTTGGCCTCCAAATATTGTTATAATTATGGAAACCGACAAGATAACGATGATGATCCATCAAAGGGTTGATTCCTGGAGGCCTTTTTTCTCTTGTATAATAGTCTATATTTTATGCGTCAGCATTTCAATAACATGGTTATCAATGACCAAGCAATTTACATGATAAAATTTTCCACCGAAAGTAATACTTTCTTGAAACATTATTATCGATGACGAAGTTCAAGTTTTCTGTCATCATTCAGGTAATGGAGGTGCACCAATTGGTCCAAGTAACTCTGGAAGTGAACCAATCACTGGAAACACTTCAAATGCCTCTGATAATACTTCATGCAATCAAGATTGTCAGTATTCTGGTGGTTAGTTTGTACTTTCATATTAGTCCAGTAATTATGAACGAAGCGAATTCTCTGCGTATTCGGCTTCATTTGGAAAGTGAAGTTTTTTCTGTCAAAAAATAGATTGTTGGGAATAAATTGAATTCTAATCACATTTTATGTAAATTGAATTCTAGTCGTATCTGTAACTATGATGAAATAATGTCGACACGTGACTTGATTTTTATGATATTCGTTGATTGCTTACTTTGAAATAAAACCGCATGCCACGCGTTTCGGCTAACGGCGTGCCTCACGTTTCTTTCATTGATTATTGATCCTTCTCATGTAATTCTGCAATTAACGAAAGTAGTGTTTCCAGAACAGTCATCTCGATATCGCAATTCGCTAGGCCTAAAACTGTTGGAAAGTACTCAAATGGTACCTATAGCCTTACATCCTATTAAGGAAGTACCGTCATCGCTTTTCTCTCACTCACTTTTTTCGAGGTTTCGCTTTAAGTTTTTGTTTAAAAAAACCTATAAAAAGAATCCCGAGGTTGTTGCTTAATCTTCGTTAGTTACAATTAACGTAATTCCTATAGAACGAACTAGGCCAAATCAGTGTGCTAAATATAACGAAAGAAAATTCGAAATATTGATGATTATCGATCAGAGACTACAAATTATATAAGAGATAAACTTTGCCTAAGGAAAAATGAAAAAAAATAGGATTCAGAGATACGGAAGTACAGAGGTGATATTTCTATTTATTTTCTACAAATTATATCATAAGATATGAATTGGTCACTACATAAATTAGCGCAGATTATAAAGTAGTAATAGCAAAATGGGTGATTTCTCGTTTCTGTGTTTGACCCGAACCGAAAAACAGTAAGCCGAACATTGTCTTTTTACACCGATAAGGGATTCCTGGCTTATGTTAGAAAGATAGAGCTGTCATAGTTTGGTGAAGTTTGTAATTACAATGACCTCTAAATTTGTCACGCCTCAACATTCTTGGTGTAGTATTATCTTGTGACGGAAAAGATGATATTAGTTCCAAGTTATTATTTTGTAGAAGGAACCAGTAATGACCGATGCATGCTAATTTAGTTTGTGAAGGTCCACATTCCTGTTTTTTGAATTTCCGAAAAACTGCAAAAAGGACTAAGTCTTTCCTATTGCCCCGCTAATTTTTTCAAATTTTTTCGACACACTATATGTCGTGTTCCGTGTTTTAACGTTATTGATAGGCGTAGTACGTAGTACTAGTAATTATGAAGTGTCGAAATGAAATGAATGGACATTGCAAAGTCATCATTACTTTGTTTATAGTATGTGATTGGAGAAGAGAGAAAAGAATCATGGGTTAGTACAGATTCTTACTATTCATTTGATGGTGAAATAAATTCCGCTGTCCTACGCAGTGATTCTGAAAATCATGGAAGCAGTATATGCGAAGTAAATATTTTTTACCTCAAATCGAGGAACACAATGATTTCGTTATTTTGTAGTGATGATCTCACATTGTTTACATTCCTCTTTTAAAGTCTTTCTGTCTTGACGTGCTGATACTAAACGCGTTATGGAAATTTTTGCTTGGTTGTCTTCACGCGTTTTTGAAACACAAAAGGTGCAAATAATGCTTCCAGTCATTAAAATTCATTTCCCAAAGACGGTAAGTAGTTATGGGATTGCGCCAGCATTGAATATAAGTGATATGTTCAGAGTAAACAGTTTTTTCATCACATCATGGTTAGGAGTTCTGCCAACAAAAGTTTGGTGCATATATAGCAGAGTCGGGACTGAACTCAGTTTGCTTTAGTAACCGAGACTTTCTAATGAGGAGAAAAAACTCTCTTAATGTAAAAGACTACGTGAAATATCACTAGGTAGATGTAAGACCGAAGTGCTTTCCCTGATGTAATATGAAGAACGTCCATTCACAATATGAATTTTATTTTCAAGAAAATAATTTATTCGAATTGGGCATCTTTAAGTGAGGAACGAAGAAACTGTTTAGAGAGGTTTATCACTAGTCACTTTGACAAAGTATTGGATAAAGAAAACATAAACAAGTAATTAAATGAGATTAATTGAATAATTAAGTACCTGTTAGAAGAATTGATTCCAAAAATTGTCACTGATATTTTATTTGTTATCATTAGATACCTATGTCTTTTATTTATTCCATTCAAGATTATGCCTCTTTTATTGAAGTACAATGTTTTATATTTTTGTTTTACATTTTTTTTATTACTGTTTTCTACTTATTACTTACACGTAACTTTACATTTCTGCAAGTTTTCTGTGTTGCGTCACTTAGGCATTTCACACCTTTGTTTTTCGTTGTTATTTTACGACGACATCATTTGCAAGTTTTTGGGGGAACATAATTGTTTCCATTGTCATTAGTTATATGATTTGCAGTTATTTATTTAATGCTTGCTAAATAGATGAAAGAGAGACGTACTTTAATTTATTTACTGTTCACATTAATTTTTTTTTTTCTTTTTGCAAGTAAGGAACTAGTAAGTCAACAAAATTGACCATTTGGTGTCTTGTTCGGTTTTTCTTGAAATTCTATTATTTGCATAGCAAGTTGTTTACTTCTTTATTAATTGCCTTAAAAGAGTAAACAATTACGCATTTGTTTCTGTTGTACTGATCCAACATATTGTTTCGTTCTCTTTTCACATAGGAGCTTCTATGAGTAGAAGCGAAATTTTTGGAGACTCTAGAATCTATATCTAGCATGGGGTTAGGGAGGGCTTCAGAAAACTACATTGTTCTTCATAAAATGTGTTGAAAGTCGTACTTTCAGTGTTTTCCGTCAATATATGAATAGTTTCTCTTAATGAAATTATTTTTTAAATGTTTACAAACTGATGAAATGGTATTTTGTTTATAAATAAAACCTCTCGTTGTTTATTGTAGCATGTTAATTCGGAAAGGCCGTATTACTTTTCAGTTATTTACAGTTAAAACAACCGCTTTTGAACACATTTTTCATTCAAGCGACATTAAACCTTATCGTTACTTTTGTATTATTTCTAAAGCTAAAGTTTCACTTTTTATT